TCAGTTTCACCAACAAATTTGCTCAGGACTTCAGGCCCATTAACAATCTAAGTAGATACAGCAAGGAAAATACTGAATTATGTCAATTACTGTATTAAGTAATATTCACAATATAGGCAAACATAATAGTTAAGTCAAATGCAGCATCTCTGAAACATGAAGGTAAGTAAGCAGACTCAAAATAAGGCAAAAAGACACTATAAAGCAGACTTTTCTGAACAGAAGTTACACACTCATGCAAAAAAAAAAAAAAAGCAACAGAATCATGGAGAAGGCAGAAACTACATGATGAACAACAACATGCAAGCATGCGTGGTATAAGTTCAATCAACATTGTATCCTTAAACAGCAATCCAAAATGCTATTGACACTAGAACAAGCATGGGATACATATCTTAAAAAATAATGTCTCTAATTATCTACAGGCAAACTATTACAAGTAATTCAAGGTCATACATATTGAGATGAAGCATAGACAAATGCATCAATTTCATTCCAACTGAACCATGAATAATCAGAATTATGATCAAAGAATGCCGGGATCAAAATGATAAGATCATGTTAACTAAAATGGTGACAAACTCCAAACCTTAGGTTCCTTTCCATTCAACATCTTTCCAATTTGACGAGCCATGAGAGTTTTTCCAGTACCAGGAGGTCCATAAAGTAGCATGCCTTTAACATGCTTAATCCCCAACCTGGAATCTCAATCATTCTCATCAGAACAAATAAATAGATATGTGATATATAAATATTAAATAGTATACTTAGAAGAATAAGTTATCTTACTTGCTAGTCACATGAGGAGGAAAGACACGAGAGGCAAAAGCTCTTCTAAATATATCAGCAAACTCTGCACCTAAGCCACCAATACCAAGTGATTGTAGATTAAACTCTTTGTGCTTAAAGATATTACTACTAGCAGCTTCACGTTGATTGACAACCTGCATCGCAAAACATAATTCAGTGAGCCACTAAAGCTAGTTAAATCAAGTTGATAAAATCTAGGTTACTTGAAAACGGGGTGAGTTTTGGACACAAGTATGTGTTCGACACGGACATGCTCAATCTTTTCTATGTTTGTTCATATGTTTAGAGGATCATACCCTCACACCTATACCCAAATGTGTTGTACAAAAGTGTTAAATATAAGTACTTTAAAGAAAATAAAGAATCAGAGCATTGGATTACAATTTTGAAATGTAAATGTAATACAAATCATATCTCTCTGAATGACAGTGATATCCACAGGTCAAATATGCTATTAACAAGAAATTAAAAAACAACTAATAACAAATTAATATATAACCTTTATCCCGCTTGAATTTTGAGCGTCAAAGATAAAGTAAGTATCACCGGAAATCATCCCCCTTTCTGGAGCACCAGATGTTTCTTGCCCCACCAGCTGAGCTTCACTGATTGTGAAAATATAGTTATTACCATGATACTCAAATGTTACTTTTTGCCCCACAGTCATAACCTGCAAAAAAGAAACCAGTATTCCATGACTTCAACAAAAATAATTCAATCGTTTATTAAAATATCAATAGACAGAAAGAATTTATTGTACACGAGTGCATGCGTAAGGAAAGAGAGGAAGTAGAAAACAAACCTTTTACATGACATATGACAAAAATAAGATGAGTAATGACTAATGTAATCAGGCAAATTATTTCCCAAGTATGAATTGATAATAATATAAGAGCATAAAAAAAAGAACTGACATGCATTTGGAAAAAAAATATCTCCAACAATCTCTTTGTTCTAAAACAGAGAGTCAAGGAAAAGAAATATAAATTTAGCCAAGCCAAGCCAAAAATATAGACAGAAAAGCAACCATAAAATTAAATCAAGCATTTAAAACAGGCAAATGGCACATAGCTATACCTGATTGATAAACCTCTTTCTAAGCTGATTAGCCAGAAGAACAGCATCAACCTACAAAAATAATAAACAGCATTTAAACCTACCGCCATCCATCCAAGCAATATAATATCATCTAAGAGAACAAGCATACCATATACTGCATTAATATCTACCTGCTCATTTTTAGTACCCTTCTTCACAAATTCCAACTCAACCCTAAGTAATGCAAGGTTAAAATCTTGAGGAGGAATAAATCTGCATGTTGAGGGCGGAAAAACAGTTAGTGACTAGATATTGTTTGTACATCTAATTGAAAGCTACGGTTAACTAACCTGCTCACTGATACATTGTCACCATTAGAAACTTTTGCAAGCCGACGATGGATAGCATTGAGGGCAATATATCCATTGCGTATGCTTTCATGAGAAGTATTTATAGGTTAAGGTTAGGCCAAAAGGTTAAAACAAAAAAAATTCAAAGGAAAAAATCCGCGGCTCAAATATAAAGAACAACAACAATTAAGACTAAAAAATTAAGATTACAGATATGAATATTCGATTTCTTTTAGAAAAAAGAGAGGGGGGGGGACAATTTATTAAGAAATTCATATTCTAAAAACTGAAACAATTAACAAATTTGTATCTCCTAAAATCACCAATCACAATAAACATTAACTAACCTTATGAATTTACTTTCCATAATTTCATGAAAATGTAAATAGCAACAAATAATCAACAAAAAAAGTGCAGTATAAATTATGCTAGTCAATCAATAACATATGAAGAATTCAACAAAGAATCGTGTAAAAATGAGGTTAAACTGCAAACAAAGCAAACAGAAAATAGATCAAAAAAAGGATATGAGACAGAAAGAACGAAGGCGTCGCCGATGTCAGCAAGGAAGAGTTTGGAACCAGGGACGGCGAAGCTTCGAAGATCGGAGGGCGAGCAATATGCAAGATTAGTCAAGGCGAGATCTGTGGACGGTGTGCTGGTGACAACCATGGTTGCAACCGTAGAGGATTGCGATCCGAACCGGCCCGCCATTACTTTCTCGTTTGCTTTTCTCGTATAAGATCTGTTGAAGAATTAGAGTTTATTTGCAGAGATGAGAAGAAAAAAATGAAAAAGTTTGTTCGAAATGAAGAATTTGATATGCCACGGAAAAAACTAAAAAGGAGAAAAATGGGTCTCGCGCGGGGTACAAGTACAATTGGAACAGATGGCTTGAAGCAAAGACCCTCGATGTTACTTAATTATTAAGTTCGTAATAAATTAAGTTATTTTTCTAAAAAATTACAATTATATCATTCAACTAAAATATTATTATAAATAAATTCTTTAGTTATTAAACATTAAATAAAATAATATCATAAATTAATATAATTATAATCTTAGTCTTTAAAAATTATAGAATTTATCAATTTGATCTCAACTTGAAACAATTTGATAAATTCAACCTTTTATATTTAAATTTTTTATCATTTTAATCTTTATACATCTTTTAAATCATTATTTTTCTCTGAAAATTGTTATATCGTTTGCTTATTGTTTTCTTGGTATAATAATAGTTTAATAGTAATATGTTGCAACTTTATGTTAAAATGTATTTATTCAATTATTACTTTGACTTTTTAAAGTCACTTGACTTGATAGTATTACAAAATAATTAAATTGTTTGAATTTTTAAATATGAAAGGTTAGATTCATTTAATTATTTTAAATTAAGATAAAATTTATAAAATATATAAGTTTTGAAGACTACAAATATTATTATATTAGTACACATTAGAAGTCGATTTTGATTTTAACGATAAGATGATATAAATTTTACAATATTTTAATTAAATAATTTTATTATAATATTTTTAAAAACTTACATATTTATTATTAGATATATAATTAACCAACATATTTATAAATAAATAATTTATTTGTACAAAGGTGAAACCAGTTTATTTGATTGGTAGTCTAAACACACATGATATCCTTGAAAGTAACACTCATAAATTTTGAATATAAATATTAAAATAAATACAGAAAATATTTAAAAATAACATTATGTGTTGTATGACATTATTTTATAAATAATTGGAGAATTGACAAATAGGTTTGATTTTAAAAATTCATCTAAAAATATTCAAATATATAATTTATCTTTCATAAAAAAAATATCTCATCAAAGATAACTCAATTTTATCACAACACTCCTTTTTATCCATCATAACCATATTTGTTTCTCTTTTTAAGAGTTATTGCACCATCGCATGGAAAAGAGAGATGATGGATTTTAATTAATTTAGGGTTCAACGGTATCTTTATTTTCAGATTATTTCTATCGAGATTTCTTGTCGTTGTTCTCATTCATTATATCTTAAACTTATTTTCATAGATTTAGACGACGATAGCAAATATGTCTTTGGGAAGATAATCAATCTTAACGGATGATCCATTTTCAAGGAACGTAGGAAACTTTATAATGAGTCATAGGTTTTGTCAATGATGATGTCTGATAGGAACGACAAGTCCAAAATACTTAAAGATACATTTGCTCTCAACACTGGAGGAAGATTATAAATATAAGTTCAAACTTTAGGGTTATCTTTTGAAGTAGTTTTAGGAAAAACAAATGTCAGATTTAGAATTATGAAATTAAAAAAATAGTGAATCAAAAGGTTTGAAGTTCATCAGTCACTAAATATGAACATCAATAGTGATGAAGGATGACTTTGTAGTTAATAGTGATTTCTGGCAAATTTTAGGTTTAGAGAAGAGAGAACAAAGAAAATGTTGGATAGAGAAAATAAAAATAGAAAACTTAATGGGATATGTGAAAAATATGGATGCGGTTAATAAAATTTATAATATAGAATGATTAAATTTATCAAATTATTTAAAAATAAGATTAAATTGATTGAATGTATAAATGTGAAAGATCAAATATATTATTTATATTTTTATTTAACTTCCATATCAATAATTATGTAAAGAGTTAATGGTTTGTGGTTTGATTAAAATTAAATTAAAAGTTTAATAATCTAATTGAAAACATTTTTAATTTACTAGTTAAAATAGAATAAAGAATAGTTTATTGACCTATGATGGGTAGTTTACCCGAAGCAATCTAAGTAACTAAAGAGCTAAACCCTAGCGAGCCATCGCCTGAACTTAAGAGGAGGAGAAGAAAAAGCAGCGTCAAGTTTTCAAATGGCTCATCGACGGTGCATCCAATCACTTGTCCGCCACGCGACGGCTCTCATCTCTCTAAAAAAGTCGCCGCCTATCTCCTTCTATGAAATCCTAACCCCAAAGCCAAATACGGTAATAGCCACTACTAATTTGGAACCCTCATGGTTTACTCCCTGGTCCCACATTCGTCACTTCTCGTCCAGGAAAAGCGACGACAGCAATGATGAAGAGGATGTTGAAGAGAGCAGCGATGAAGAAACGGAGAACGACGAGGTGGCGGCGGATTTGGGTAGATACAACTCGCCCGAGGAGAAGGAAGCTGAGGCCGCGGCTATTGGATACAAAGTGGTGGGTCCGCTCCAGCGGTCTGACCGGGTATTCAAAGACTATGAGCCAGTTTTCGCAGTGGTTCAGGTATTCAATGTTTTGTTTGGTTTTTGAGAATCGAAAATTTGGAACATTATTAATTTAATTGTATTTAAAAAAAAGATTGGATCGCATCAGTTTAAGGTGAGCAATGGGGATTCCATTTTCACGGAGAGGTTGAAATTCTGCGAAGTCAATGACAAGGTAATTTGCTGTTTTTCTCTGCTCATTGGAAATTTATAGTGATGCATTTTTTCTGTCTATTGATGCATTTTTTTTAGTATTTTAGATTTTTGATGTCGTTTCCGCCAATGTATTAGTGTTTAATAAGATAACGCATTGAGTAGGCACTTCTACTTGAATTATGGCTTTACGGCAAGTATTTTGTAGAAAAAAATCGATTTTTTCAAGTTGAGTTTTGATTACCCCTACATCACACGGCCAATTTTGTTGGATGAATTCCGTTATTCTGAACTTAAGAGGTTTCATATAACCCTATGTTTTCTAGGGTTCCATCTTCTTCCACTCCCGTTTAAGTCATACTTCTGCTGATTTACTGCTGTTTTTCTCCCTAAGCCGCATCAAGTTCTTCACTTTCTTCCGGATATTCATCATAAATAGGATCTAATAGATCATACTCTTTCTCTTCCACATTCATGTTTCCGTGTAAATCTACAACTTAAACATTAATTTCAGACTTGTTTAGTTTAAGGTTGTGCACCAACCGCTCTTCTAATCCACCTCGTGGAGCACAATTTGTGGGTCCTGCATCATGAAAGGAGTATTCTTACTCATTAAAACCGGATTTATCAGCAAGACAATCTTCCAGTATGACAAACTGATTGTGGTTAGCTTCCGGATGATCACAGCCAAGCATAAACTGCACAAGACAATTCTTCTTCAATTGCGTGTTATATTGCAGCCAATTCTGTTTCTTGACACCGATTTCCTCTTACTTGATCTCTATCTCATCCAACCATGGCTTAATAGAAACTCTTATATAAACGCTAGGATCTAATTAGGCTCTAATGTCTATAGGAAAAGTTGGTAACTAGAGGTTTTATATAGCCCTATGTTTTCTATGGTTCCAACTTATTTCCGACTTGTTTTGCACTTAATTTTGAAAAGCACAGTTAAGGCCTTAGGTGCTAGGTGCATGTGGGCACAAAACAAAACGCCTATGGAGGCGCAATTCTTTTCCTCTTGAACTTATCCATGTTTTTTTCTCCTCCATATTTTTCTATATATAATGGAACTGTCATACTTCTATGGCTATGCATTGCAGCTGATATTGAACAAGGTTCTCTTTCTGGGTTCATCTACACAAACAATTATTGGAAGGCCTATACTCCCAGATGCAGGTGTTCATGCTGTTGTTGAGGAGCACGTAAGCTTCACTCTGATATTTTTTCACTCTTAAGTGCATATTGCATTTTTAGTGACATAATATTACCTAAATTGCAAAAGAAAAAAAGCTACCCTTATCCCAAGAAAGATATCTTCCCCATTTTAAGCGACGGGGTAGGCAAGTGAAGAAATCGAACAATATTTCCACAGTTTCATTCTGCTCCGTCGATTCGTTTGTCTTTATAAACAGTGAGCATTAAATGAGGACATGCTACAAACAATAGCTGCTAGAGCATGCATTTGTTGTTTTTCATTATTCTCTTTAGGTCGTGCACCTGGATTTATATATATCCTTGTTTTTTTCTGTTAGGCATTAGATGCTAAGGTGATTATTTTTAAGAAAAAGAGAAGAAAGAATTACCGCCGAACCAAAGGACATCGCCAGGTTTGTCAAGGACCATGTATCTAAACAATTTTAGTTTGTTTGACCTGACTTTGTAACACTTGTTGATCGTTGTCATATTTTTAGGAATTGACTAAGTTGAGAATAACGGATATACAAGGAATTGAAAAACTAGAAATCATAACTGATGGGAAGCCATTAAAAGCAGCTGTTAAGAAGACAGAGAAGGTTGTTACTACTGCTTAAAGATAGATATTTTCCCCATGGCTTTATTTTGCAAAATAATGGGTGCTCATGTTTTGATTCTCGAGATAATGCCATCTTTATACAACAGGTGAATGTCTTCTTAGTTTGATCGATGTACATTTTTGGATGTACTGTGAAGCATTGGATTTGTTCGCCTTTGCTTTTAAGCACCAAGTGAGAACAGTAATACATGTCCCATGCCAAATTTTTGTGCTATTGTATTTTTGTAGTAAGTAACCTAGTAAAGTAGTCCAACTTTTAGTTGACACAATTTTTGTTTCCTGACTATGATTAATTATTTCCAACTTTTTTTTTTAAATTCTTTTGAATCTCTTGGATTTGCTTTAAACCTAAGCTACTTGGAGACTCTAGTACGAGTATCAGACTCAGTATGTTCAATTTTTGTCCAATATTTCCATGCACTTGGACCTATGTCCGGATATGAACCAGTCACGGTTGCCGGGCATAGGTACTTCAAGAACACTGAAGAACCTAAGTAACATAGCTTGGAACTGCGGTTGTTGAATTAGTGGTTGCAGAGATTGTCTAGTGGCCAGTGGGGATGGAATGTTAACGTTTTTTGCAGTAGCATTTAGTAGCACAAGTCTTTACTGTTTCAACTAAGTAGGGCCTTTGGCCTAATTAGTTCTATCTAAAGGCACAAGCTGCTGAAAAAGGCCTATGTTGTCAAGCCCGAGCATAAAAAACAGACCGATATTCGATGTTCAACACATGCTGCGACAGACATATCACATAAAGTACATGGATACCACTTCTGCACCATATAGAAGTGGTCTGAACTCTGAACTATTATTGTGGGCCCATAAAGTCTTTTATTTCGTTAATCATGTCTCAAACTTCTTATTGGCCGTCACTTGTTGCTTGCTCTTGAGACATCTTTAGATATATATTAAAGTTTATGCTATAAACATTATCTGAATCTACAGTTCTCTGTGTAAAGCTTGGATAAGCTCTCAATAGAGATTCTCTTGATTAGGCAAATGGGGAAGGGGAAACTGTTGAAGCTGACTCGTTATAAAAAAATTGAAATAGATTAAAATCGAGAGTTTATCGTTTAATTAAACTTATAAATTTATGAGTTCATGTTCTACATTTTATATAGTTCAATCCTTGTTTCAGGTATCCCTGGAAAGATCCAACTTTTATGGGAAATTCGTATAGCTTTTATTGATTTATTTATGAACTAATTTATCAACTCATTTATAAGTTTGTTTATTTGATTCTCATTTTTCTTTTATTTTTTATATTTTAAACATCAATGAAGATGGGGAATAAAATGAACACAAGATAAACTTTAGAGTTCAAAATGTGAAACCTAAAGAATTAAGACTAGTGGTGTAATTTAACCAGTTTCTTGACTTGCAAATAAAAGGGTAGAAAATAGTGTTGGTTGTCAAACATTAAATGAATATGTTTATGAATGTTAAAAAAACATGTTCGCAAACAATAAATGAACAAATACAAACACTTTTAAAATTTAGTAATCGAATACGAATCGAACATGAACACCTTAAAAAATAAGCAAACGAATACAAACATAACTATGTTTGTTCAAACTCGGCTCATTTACACCCTTGGATTTCCTCCGCTCACATTGATCGTGATATAAGTGCCTCTCCTCCGTCTCATTTGCAAAAGGCAAAAATACTTGACTTTGTTGCCATGTTTTTCCCATGCAAATTGGTAACATGGTGACTGGTGTGTGCTTTCTTTGGCCGACGGAAAGGACACTACTGAAGAGTTGCTCCATGCATCAGCTCATGGTATAACTAGAGATTACTGGAAACTAGATAAAGGTTTTGAAAGAGGAAACCCAGATTCAAAATTGGAAGAGATCTTTCCAATCATTAAGACAAGGACCAAGGTTGATATTGTGTGGTAAAATAACAAAATTGGAAGAATATGACATTCTCCTTGAGGAATAGGTGGTGGAAACTTGCCACCACTGTACTGAACAAGATAGGACTGAGTTGCATATACTTGAAACAGCAAACACAAAAATGAAGCCAATGAGGTCGAGGAAAACAAAGGTAGAATGTTGCTTAAACCAGGGGAGATTTCCGGCAGATGTAGGCAGTTCGATATGGCCAATGATTGCTGGGATCACCACTTTCTTGATGACAGTAAGGTGTTGGCTGTGTCTCCGGTTCGAAACATGACTTAATGAATGTTAAACATACCATTTGAGTTGCTCAAAACAGTCCTGACAACCATTTTAGTTTTCCCACTTTTAGGTCAAAAGAAGTTGGCTGAAGATGGTTTAGCAAGAATGGAGTATTCTAGAGAAAAACCTTATTTCAATGAAGCCGTATATGATAAGCAGTTAGGAAGAGTCAAGGTGAAGACAAATTCCGCGAGCTACAACGAGAATGCTTTCCTTGTAACCTGCCAGTCTACGCTTTATATACTCCGGAAGCTGCCCAAGGTAAATTTTCACATTTTATAACACTGTTTCCACCTCCATTTGCATTTGTTGCATTAATGGAGTTAATATTGATGCCATCTGTTGATTGAATGCTGCTGGATCAGCATTGAGGCCCTTGTCAAGGAGCACTTTAGCAGATATGCTGAAATTATTATCTTGGCTTGTAACGCATACATGGAATAAATGCCAGTAGGATTTGCTCTTGAATACAGCAGAAATAGGCTTAATGTAAACATTAAAGGAATATCTATCGGGTTCAAAATCATGCTCGTCACGCTTTTCCAAAAGCTCCTGGATGCGTTTTCAAAACAGGGAATCGATTGCAGCCAATTCCAGGATAACGTGTATGTACAACTGTCGTGGTAGTAGGTAAGCACAAATGCACATTACATTACCAAAAGTTGCTATAATGTGAATAGCTGTGTGATAGTCAGTCTCTTGAATTCGAGAACGAAAATGGAATAAAGATCCCTGTAAAGGGGAAGCTTTGTATCCTGTGCTGTTCATCTTGGCTACTCGGAGAAAAAAATGAGACCTTCAATATGCTTACATAAACAGCAGCTAAATTCATCACCAATAGTCTCCACAAGTACATGAGCCATCTTTAAAATGATGAAACCGAAGTCTATCACGAACGTTAATCTCCCTATTAGCAATAACCGAAATATGTTTGACGGCCGTATGACAATCCTCACACATTCGAAGGTTCTTGACAATCTTGATAGGCACACCAGGGCCAGTTTTTAGTAAGCCAAATGCTATTGCGAGTTTCTCACTATGGTACCTAAGGGCATGTTCCCTCTCCTCTTCTTCCACTTCATGCATTACAGACTCGGATGCTGGTATATAGCCGGCTTCTCTGCACCTACTCATCAACTCATCCAAATAAAAATAAATTTGATTCGTCTCAGGATGAGATTTGTCGCCCATGCTAAACAAATAAACCTTCTGATCAACATCTATTGTGCTATAGCCTACTTCCTTCTTCAAGCGATTTCTTATCATTATGTTTCGGACCTTTTCCACTCGATCCATCCTACCTGCCAATGCATATATATTCGAGAGCATTACATAATGTCCTGGGTTTTCGGGCTCCAGACTCAAAAGATGCTCCGCTACTTCTACTCCAAGATCGAAATTCTTATGCATCTTGCAAGACCCCAGCATTGCAGTCCAAACTGCAGCAGCTGGCTCTTTAGGTATGTCTTTGATAAACTGATACGCTTCGTTCAAGTGTCCAGCACGCCCAAGCATATCCACCATACAAACCTGATGCTCCACCGATGGCTCCAATCCATATTCCTGCTTCATGCTGGCAAATATCCGGCGCCCTTCATTAACTAGCCCTGCATGAGCACAAGCCGATAAGATCGCGACAAACGTTACATTATTGGGTTGTAGACCATGGAGCCTCATTTCATTAAAGAGCTCAAGTGCTCGGCTACCATGACCATGCATTCCATACCCTGAAATTATAGCAGTCCAAGCAACAATATTCTTTTCCTCCATCGAATCAAAAACTTCTCGTGCTTTGATCACATTTCCACACCTCGAATACATATTAATCAACGCAGTACCAAGCACCACATTCATATCGAAACAGTTCCTAGCAATATACTCATGCACCCAACAGCCTAAACCAGTTGCACCCACCTGAGCACAAGCAGATAACAAACTAACAAACGTTGTAGAATCCGGCTTAACTCCCGAATCTCGCATCAAATGAAACAATTCAATTGCTTCTTTCCCAAACCCATTCTGCTCGTATCCCGAAATCATCGAATTCCAAGCCACTATTGTTCTTTGAGGCATTTTATCGAAAATTTTACGGGCAGTCCTTACATGACCAGTTTTAGCATAAAAACTCACAAGAGCAGCTTGAACATATGTATCCAAACCGTATCCACAAATCAAAACATGACAATGAATGGTTTTACCGATACTGAAAGTCATTAAATCGGCAGAAGATTTAATCACGGCGGAGAATGTGTAATTTGAGGATGAAATATTGGCTAATAACATCCGGCGATAGTAGAGAAGGGATTCTCGAGGAAAATTGAATTTAGAGGTCAAGGTGATTAGAGAATGGAAGAGAAAGGTGTCTGGTTTGGAGATGGAAAAGAAGAGGTGACGCGTGTAGCTAAGGGGTGAAGTAGCGGCATAAGCAAAAGAGAGGAGTTTGGTGATGAGAGATCGGCTATGACCGGAGCCCGTGACGATGATTCGAGCGTGGACTTGTTGAAGAGGTTTGAGACGTGGGCCTGCTTGGATGATTGCGTGGTAGATTGGTGAATGCGTGAGGGTGGCATTTGAAGACGATGTTTGGCTTCCATGGAAACTTGGCATGAGGGAGAGGGAAAATTTTGAGCTTTGAATCAAATCTACAGTTAAATGATTTTGATTGAAAGCAGCCGAAATGTATCGTTTTGCCAGTGACTCGCTAAAAATGAGGAAAAGAAAAAGAAAAAGAACAAACAAACAAAGAGAAGGAAGGAAGAAGCTTTGCGGCGGAGGAGAGAAAAATGCAGAAATTTTAGAGGGAAACAAAATGAAAAGGGAACCTTTTAGCTACGGGTGTAAAATGTAATTAAAAAGAGTGTTCAACGAATGTTAGTAAATCGGTTTTATAATATGTCCACGAATGATAAATAAAAATATTTTCAAATATTAAATAAATGAATATAAATACATGTAAAAATAAATAAATGAATACGAATATAATATTAAAAATTTAAACGAATATAAACATAATTTATTTGTTTAAACTCGGTTTATTTACACTATTGATTTTATCTTAATATATATTTTTAGAACAATTGATTGATATAAGGCTAAAAAAAAGGTAAAAATGATTGTAATCGTAAAATTTATCAAAAGCATAATTTTTTAAAGTAAACCGAATAACATTTTAGGTTAAAACTGAAAATATTATATTTTCTACAATAATTTATGTAAATCAGATAACTAATTGTAACCGAAAAAGTTATTGTCAATATATTCTCGATTGTAACTATAATTATTACTAATTGTATAACTTTTTTAGATTAAACATGTAACCTTTTAAGTTACAATTCATCACAATGTATTCATATTTTCCTTTAGTAAACACCTTCAACGTGCATACAAATCTATTTTTCCTATTTTATATTGTAATGGTTCTATGAATTGCAAACCTTAGTCTTGTAACACAAAGATCTTACAGTTCTGCATATATTTCGACCTATTAAAAAGTAACCCAAAGCTGTTGCAGCATTGTTGACCGGTGAAATAGACAACAAACGTAAATGTCAATTTGAATGGTGATTCTGATCGTAATGATTTGGTTTTTCGAAGAAGAAATTTGTACGTACCCTTATTCTCTGTTGCATGACTATTTATAATATCTTGGATAAGTGTCATTCATAAGTTGTCGTGATATTAATACTGATTGAACATCCTAGAAAGTGATGATTTAGACTAATTTGTTATTAAAAGAGAATGTGATATCAACATATGATCGTACGTTGAATGTGTTTTGAGAGTAACATGTGATCAACTCGTGGTCACTTTTAATTGTTTGCGGGATACACTTCGTACTTTGGAGGTTCGTAGTAGTCCTATGTTCGCATACTTAAAGGTTTACACAAATCATTTTTGCGTACCTGAAAGTTCACTTAAATCGCATAAATCATATGGTCACATACTTAGAAATTCACACAAGTCGTATATTCGTATACCTAGAGATCGGTGAAATTAAAGGTTCACATATAATCTTGGAATTTTGATTTAACTTACATGAAATTATGATCTTCGACGGACAAAAATGAAATCGATCGAGCTCTAGATGTAGTAGTTATCATAGTACTGTATGACTCTATATCAAATGGCGCTCATTTACTCTTAAAAATATTTTTTAAGTAAATAAATTGGAAAACAGTAAATTTACTTATTTTTAATATACTATTAAATTTTAAAAAAATATCCTTACTTTTTTCTTGAATAAACTGTCGCCCAACTATTCGTAAATTTATATTTTGTTGATTCAACTATTTTTTTCAAAATTATATTTAATATTATGTTTTAGTTTCGTTTTATTAATATGACGTTAAAAAATTTAATGGTGATGTTGATGTGGTATTTTTTTAATTATTTTTTCAATAATGGTATGACATTATATCTTATGGTGACACGTCATGATCATAATTAATTTTTTAATGTCAAGTGACTAAAATAAAACTAAAATATAATGTTATGTGTGATTTAAAAAATAGCTAGGTGAACAAAACATAACTACAAGAATAGTTTGGTGACTAAATATATAATGTATCTTATTTTTTTAATTATCCCCATATTAAATGGTTAATCGAGATGAATGGAAAGAGTATGTGGAATCAATCTTAAAATTTTAAATTTTTATATAATTAAAATAATTTTTTATATATTTTTATTAATAATATATTTTTCATTCCTAATATTTTATAAAGTCGCCTTCAACTTGAAATCATATCTCAATCACTAATAACTCATTTTTCTTCACCAATAACAGAATACATTACTTCGATACGTATCGATTATGCCAACTGATACATGAATTGCACGTAATATGCACCTCATGCGAACAGCATGAACAGAAATAGATTAAATTGATTTTTTTTCAATTTCATCACAAACTTTATGCCTTCTGTTTTCACGCAAAAACTGTACTATATAAACCTTTTTTTATCAATCAAACTAAAACTACATAAGCTTAAATTGGTCCCCAATGATGGCAGCAAATTGGGTTCTCTCGACCTTACTCTTGTCACTATGTATAGCAACTTCCTACGGTAAGAGGACCGGTGTCTCCGCCATGGATGACAGAGTCGAAAAAGATGTGTTTCAGCCGAGCAGCGGTTCCATGTACGAACGACATCATGGTTCTTCAACTCCCATCGATCCTGAACCTGTCGTCGATCCTGAACCTATCGTCGATCTCCCTCCTCCCGTCTATGAAAGAAGCCCTTATTGTTCCAGCTGCGACAACGTTGATATCATCGGCGGCTGTTGCGGTGGCAGCTGCAATTATGGGTGCAATGGTTTCGGGGTAGGGATTGGTTCGGCTGATCTCAATGGACTCAAGCAAACGATTAGGGACTTTACTATGAAACTTGAAGCCAACGGTTTATTAGGGCAAAAGAAGGGGAAGAATATGCAAACGATGACACCGGGATCTTCATAGATTTATATATAGATTATATAAACTATGGTTTCTATATAAAGTGAAAATAAAGCAATAACCACATAGCAATGATTGTATTCCAATGCGGTAGCTGTTTTTATTATATAAATAAATGACATTTATTATATGAATAATTGAATCGAAATTTTCATTCTTACAATGATCTTTTACAAAATTCGATTTGAATTAAACAATTAATAGATCGAATACTAATAATTAATTCAACAAATAACGTTTATGGATTATAAATATTATCACGGAAGTATTCATAGTCTCATTAGGGTTTGATAAAAAATTATTTATTTCTAATTGTTTATTTAAATATTGATTGAAGATATGATAATTTTTCATTGGTTAAAAACACTTCACACTATCTATCAAATAATGACCCTAAATAATATTTACTGTAAACAATAGTATTGTACAATCAGATAGAAAGTTGATCCGATCAACCTTCGATTCCCAATTCAATGGTATCAAGTTGATTTAATAATTAATTAATTTTTTAACGGGCTTCAAATGTAATGCATGGGGTTTTTATGAAACGATTAGTTTATTTTATTTATTTTTAATTTTTTAGTAGTATGAAGTGATTATAAATTAATATATGTTTATAATTTTTTTAACATATTAATTAGGTATACATATTTTATAAATGTAATTTTTTGAACACGGATAATCTAGAAAGAATAATATTTCATTTTATCACTAAATTTATTTAATGAATTCCCTCATTTATTTTAAAGTAAACTACGCAGATAACATTAAAGTATTATAAGTTTTATTTTATTCATTATTAATAAGATATGATATGATCATTAATACTGTTGGTTTATTATAAAATAATTATTTTAATGTTATTTACTGTTATTTTAATAACATAACACGTTATTAAAAGATATAATATTTAACTTAAATCATAAACTACGGCTAAAATTTTGATTTGATGTTGATTCTTCTTCGAATAGGATATAATCTTGATTCTAAAAGATTTAACCCATGATCTATATTATTTATAATAATTTAACCCTAATTCTAAAAATACTAAAAATTATATTCCTTTTTCAATTAATCGTCCTTCTCAATCTTCTTGAAATCAAAACCTAAAACTTCTTATAAATATTCTTTATACAAGTTCTTCGGTTCATTCAAAACTCATACTTCATTATTTGTTAATTAAATTCTTAACAAAATTAAATTGATATGTTTGATTGACTAAACATTTTATGGATGCGATAGTAATTTTTAAAAAATGCTCTAATCAAATAAGATACAAACTTTATTAACTTTGTTAATGTTATTTATTATTTAATAAAATTCAATTTATCATGTAAACATGTAATTTAATTATATATATTTATTTTAAATAATAAAAAATTAATACGTTTACCTATATAATTAAATTTAAAATAAGTTTTGAACATTTATGTATTTAAATTAGAATACAAGTACCTATATTTATTTTAAATAATAATAAATTAATACATTTACTTATATGATTAAATTTAAAATAAGTTTCAAATATTTAATATGTAGTATGAACCAAGCAATCTAAGTGATTAAGGAATTATTATTATTTCTTGAGGTCCCGAGTTCGAGCACCATATATGCCAAATGTATATGAATTCAATGTCAAATGAGTGAGAGTCTTTGAACATATATTACCTTGTAATCACCCCTAAATTAGCAATTAAAATAAATTTGATAATGTTTTGATTTTGTATTCTATAAAAATTGTACATAGAATATGTTTCATGCAAAAAACATGAAAAGAGATGGATTAGCTTGATTTTCCATTGTTTCATCACAAATTTTATGCCTTCTTTTTTAACGCAAAAACTTCACTATATAAACACTTTTTTATCAATCAAAATAAAAATCACACAAGCTTACATTCCTCGCAAAGATGGCAGCAAATTGGGTTCTCTTAACCTTACTATCCTCACTATGTTTAGCAAGGACCGGTGTCTCCTCCATGAACGACAGAGCCGGAAAAGATGTGTTCCGGTCAAGCAGCGGTTTCATGTACGAACCCCATATAGGTTCCGAGGGTCCCAATATCGATAATGGCGGTGACGGCATCAGCTTTTCTGGCGGCAGCTGCAGTTGTGGTTGCCGTCACCCTTGCAACTTGTGCAATGGTAGAGGGCATGGAGTTGGTCTCAATGGACTCAAACAAACTATTAGGGACCTTACCATGAAACTTGAGGCTAATGGTTTATTAGGCCAAAAGAAGGCGATGAATATGCAAGCTATGGCACCAGAGTCTTCATAGATATATATATAGGATTATATATATTATGGGTTTAATAAAAAATAAAGTAATAACCACACAGCTTAACATATGATTGGATTACAATGTATTAGCTCTTTTTATTATATGAAAAAATAAATCTAAATTATGTTGATTGAAATAAAAACGGGGAGGATATTTCTCTTTTCCGAACAATTCTTACATAGGGGAAAGAATTTTTGCTCTTAATATGTATTGAAGTCGTAATTCAGAGGAGAGGAGAGAAGAGGCGTCAATTGAAAATTTTAGTTTATATACTTTAGAAATTATTGACAAAATGGAGAGAATAATTAAATTTTCATTGAGTTTTAATAAATTTTTTTATTTATTCTTATCATTTGAAAAATAGTTATTTAATCTTATCATCAATAATACTTACTAAAAGGAAAATGTACTAGACATACCAACATTTATATTAATTGAATTTTTAAAAAGAGCAATTTACCTTTCACTATTACTTATTTAATTTATTAATTGATTTGTTGTTATCACTTAAGGTTTTAAGTTTGAGTACTACATATACTAAAGGTATGAACGCTCATTATCAAATGATGAAAAATCTTTGAACAAATACTACATTATATTCACTATTTTATTTAGGTTTAATACATGTTTTGTCCCATGCATGTGCTATAAATAAATTCTCAGTTTCACCCTCTATAAATTTCATTCTCCATTCATATTATGTATTTTCATTTCCTCTATCATCTACCTCACCTTATTTTTTCTATTAAAAATATTATGTAATTCAATCATATTTATTTGCTTATAAAAATATAAATAATATTAATTTTTATTAAATGAACCTAATGATAAAAAAATATTATTTTACTGAAGTATATGATCGATACGGATGAAACATGTTGTCCGACGATGATGATTGTAGCGTGTCGAGATGTGATCCGAAACAGTGTCGGTGTTGGGTGGTTGATCTAAGTCAAGAGGATAGGACTTTGTACGGTGATTGAGGCGGAAATATGAGGAGTTTACGAGGACTTGCGACGTGCTTAGACGATGGGTGAACATCGTATAATAATGGAATCAGATAGCTTGGAGGCAACATGGATGTTGTATGATATTTTAACATGGAGAAGGTAGTTTACAATAAGATTTAAACTGTGATTGCAGTTACATTTTAAGTTATGATATATTTATCATTTATACGATAATAGTGTATACTATTAATTTATTACAGTCATTGTGAATATCACAGTTATATAACATTAGTTTTGAAAGGTATTTTTACTGTTATATAACGACCATTATTTCAATAATAAATCGTTATTTAAATCTCTAATTCACATGTTTATAACACATAATGTGTCTCTTAAATCAGTCGTGCCTGATAGTTAAGCATGCATGGCAACCTTCGGATGATACAAATAAATTTTTGTTTCTATCATTACCGACTGTAATTCTGTCAATTTTTACCGATAATAATTTATGTGTATCTTAGATCAGTCTTTGATTTTCTTTCTTTGTATGCATAAAAAATATACATATTAAAAAATTATTTTATTATTTTATCAAATAATAACTCTCGTAGGATTAATGACTATACTGTAAGTGTTTATTTTTGAAAGAAATTGTATAGTTGATTGTTATTAATAAGAAATAATTAATCCTATAATGCATAACAAAAATATAAAATAGGAAAGATGAAAATAGATGCAACCATTTATAAGAAAAATAAAATTGATAAATTTTATTAAATATTAAAAATTAAAATTACTATTATATCAATTAAATATAAACCGTTAATGGTTTAAAATGATTTAAGAATTAGTGACCGGAATAGTATTAGTAACTGAATAGAAAAAAATTATTCGGTGTCCAAAATAAAAGTAGAATAATAGTTTAGTGACCGTTGACATAAATTTACCAAAGTAGTCTTGAGTGCCTCCAAACCCCAAGGTTTAAAGAAACCAAATTTCGTCCGCCGGAGACGCCGCGTTTGGAGAAAGCAAGAAGAAAATGATACCTGAGCAATGGGCTTCTCCTTGTGGAAATCAATGCACTCACAAATACGCTGCTCTCATGCAAATTCCCTGTATTACTTCTTTATTCCCTTCAATTCTTTATTAATTTGGGGCTGGCACCGATTTAATAGATCTTAGCATTCTGTGTATTCGTTATAATTGATTGCATTTCAAGCTTCTTCCTTCAAGATCAAGGTTCCATCGTTTTTTTTTGTGGATCTTGGTATTACATTGCTTTATTTGTACGGATTGAGAGTGCTTTTCTCCAAATGTTTTTTAATGGATACTCTACCTCTGTTGCAAGTTTTGGATGTTGATTTATAATAATGTAAGCTATAAATTGGCAATCAATTTCCCACAATTTGTGCATTTGTGTAACGAGGTGTTCAAATTATTTTGTTTACTTGCTTACATGATAAATTTGGGATTTTCTTCATTTTAATTTCTGCCTATTTTTAATTATGTCAGCAATCTATTTGTATGTCAGCAATCTATGAACCCTACTAACAATCCCAAATTCTTGTAGGGAGAGTGTTCTGCAAAAAAGGGTGTAGTGCGGATGGAGAGACATGGGAAGAATGTAAGCAGTTTTGTATTGATCGTTGCTTTTGATTTAAAAACCGTTGTATGTTCTTCGAATCTGATTTAATCAGTCTTTTGATGTTTATAGTGTTATAATACACCGGGGAAACAGTATATCTTTTAAAGCTGATTATATCTCTTGTTTTACGATTACGAGCGTTTCAGGTTTATCAGAGTGTGATGAGATATGCTATAAGGATCCTGTATTAAAGGACCAGAAATGGAGTGCTTACATGGATCGCTCCCCTGGAGCTACCAATTACTCTCAGGTACTTAATCTTATAGCCATTTTTTATCCTATTTTCTCACCTGTAATGACCCTAATTTTTTTTTCATTTGTTTCGTACTTTTTCATGTCTGATATGGTGAATTTGCTGCTTACTTGGTATGAGCTGCTTTATGTTTTTCATGTTTGAAAGAACAAACCTCTAAAAGTCTGTTGTTACGCAAATTTAGTCAACTTATTTTCTCTTTAGAAATCTAGTGCTGTCCTTTAGGAAAAGTTTTTAGTACCTTTTGAGTTTGGGGTTCATTTCAGTTATTCATAATAGATTATTTACACTGGTTTGCAATTGCTTTTTAGTGTTAGATTGAGGCAATGAAGAACTTAGTCTTTTTGTGTATCAAAGGTATAATATGCTCCCGTAAGTGCTTTTACGGTGCTCGGGAGTCAATAACCTGTGATGATACTTGGTTATATTCAGAATGTTCTTGGGATTGCTATGAATCAAACGAAACCTGATACATACACATACTTGAAATTATCGCAAAAAAGGTAAAATCCATTACAAACGACATAACTTTCCCTATAGCGCCCCAAGGTATTGTCTCTGTGCTAGTAAAGCTAGATCCCCTTGTTGTCGTGCTTCTAGACTCATAAAAGGGGATATGCTTTTGCCTTTTGCAAGTTCATGTCAGAAAAGATGAGCACCTTTGTCACATGGAAGCTTTCTTGAGAGTTGGCTTGTTCTGTTATCCTGATTATAGCTTGCTTAATATGGCACTTCCAAAGAAATTAAAGGTGAAAGTGCTGTTTGAAGAACTGTAATACTCTTATTTTGCGAAGATTCATATGACTCGGAATGTGTTCTTCAAACATCTCGTAATTCAAAGCATAAGGATGTATGAAATTCATAAAAAAAGATATGAGTGAGAGAGAGAAAGGGAGAGTGAGAGAGAGTGCCATAGGCGGCCAGTCCTCCGGTGAGGAATGGACGGCGTTTGTCAACTTTCTGAGTAAGAGGGTAACTTGGCGAACACTAAAGGAAATCTTTCAACAACATGGTAGTGTTATTAGGGTCTACATTCCGAGTAGCTCCACCAAGCAGAATTATAGGAACTACACGTTTGCTTTCGTTCAGTTTGAGAAGGAAGATGGGTTGATGAAAGCGATAGCAAATTTGAATGGTATTTGGATAGATGGTAAGAAAGTCTCAGTTGGTGTAGCTAAGTACCAGAAGCAGAGGTCCAGGCAAGAGGATAATAGAGATGTCAGAAGGGTAGAAGGTAAATGGAAAATAGGAACGACTTTGAGAAGAAGATCAAGGTCAGTGTCGATCAGCAAATTGAGGGATGAAAGAACATATAAGGATGTGCTGGTCTCTTATGACGAGCAAAGGGAAGTTCAGGGGAACAAAGAGTTTAAGGAGGGTCGTCCAGGAGAGAAAGAAGGACTGAGAAATGTATGGGAGATGCATATCCCATTAGATGAGTATGATTGGGTTAAAAGATCATTGACTGGAATTATAAAATCCCAGTTTGATCTGGAATTAGTGGAGAAGGGGCTGGCTAGTGATGGAATCATAGTCAGGGGAGCTAAATGGGGTTATACATGGAACTCTTGTATCTTAACTTTCGACTCAGTAGAAGAATTAGAAAAAGCAAGGACGAGCAGAGGGGAGGAACTGTTGTTCTGGTTTGATTGGCTTGATCCGCTTATGAGCGAAGAAGGTGTTCCGTTGGCTTTTTGCTCAGTTGAACTGGTTGGAATCCCTTTATTATGTTGGAACGAATCTTTCTTGGAAAAGTTACTTTCAAAGTGGGGGAAGTTGGTCTGTATTCACGAGTCGACAATCAAAAGGGAGGATATGGCGGTGGCAAGAGCTCTACTGAAGGTGGCCAGTCCGTTCGACATACAAGAATTTGTTAATATGGGTTCGTATGGGCGTTCTTTCAAGGTTAAAATTAACTTGGGATCGGTTAGTATTAAACAGGAAAGCTTTGCAGTTAAAAAATCTATGGTGGCCGGAGATGGTGTGTACAGTAACGACGCTCAACCTGAGAAGGAAGATGATAACCATTCAGTTGGAGTTGGTAAGCTGGACTTGATAGCTAAGGATTCTAGGGATACATATGTCAGAGGGTTGGTAGGGGAAAACTATACATCTATGGTAGGCGGCAAAGGTGAAGAGCATTTATTGTCACAGGAACTACAAAGTCAAAATAGTGGTGCTATGATGTCAGAATTACCAGATGGGATTTTGAATTTAAAAGGGGATTATCGAGGGCTGGGTTTAAGAGATGATTTTATAGTTGAAAGTGTGGCAGCCCAATCTGTGGATTCGAGTGAGGACCACCCAATTTCTTTTATTGGGCCTGGGGTTAATCAAACCAATTTGGGGTTTGGTAAGGGGAATGAATCCCGGTTGGAAACTTTGGTGGAGCCGCAACAATCTGGTTCGGATAAATCAAATGTGCAAAAAAAGGCTAATGATCCTTCTTATCTATTCCCAAAGGCAATTCCTGGTGGGGTAGTCGTTAGGTTACAGCCAGTACATAGAGAAGATTCTAACAAATCCAATGAGGTTTTGATTAATGAAGGAACATTCCTGAACAAAGAAGCTAGTAGTGAGGAAGGTATAGAAGAGGTTAGGGAAGAAAAGTCGATGCACATGAATCAAGAGAGTGGTTGTTATAAGGAGTCTCATACTATTGGCCTTAGTAGCTGGAGTCCTTTCAATCACCTGCCTAGGAGTCTGCATTTGGGAGGGTGGAAGAGAGGGCCTGTCTCCAGAGTGTATAGAAGATCCAGAGGTAGAAAGGTGTGGTTTAATCCACGCAGAGAAAATGGTTCAATGTTTCCACTGGAGGTGTCTGATCACAATAGGTCTAGAAATATTCCTACCTCGAGTATTTTACCTATTACCAATATATCGGGGAGAAGCCCGATTGAGACCCAGGATGATGATGGTTCTAGTCAGAAAGCAGATGCAGTTCGGTCACAGCTTCCTCGGGGAGATGGTGAGGGTGTTAAAGGGAATAAGCATGGATCAGAAGCAAGGACTGGTATTAGAAGAAAGAAAAGGATTCTGATTAGGGAAGCACTGGACGTGGCTAGTATCCCTACTGTGTATTCTCCAAATTTTTCCTTATTTTTAGAAGAAGCGCTGGCTACATGGGAAGTCAGTAAATTGCTTGGGATCTCATTCAAAGAGGGGAAGAAAGCCTTTTTGGATAAAATAATTAATATGGAGAAAGGTTTGGCTGATTGTGGGGAAGGGGTGGTTTCGGGGGAGTAGGGATCTCTCGGCTACTTTGCTTTGAGGTTTTGTTTCCATAGATATATACATGGTAAAGATGAAGATTATTTCTTGGAACATAAGGGGTATCCGAAAAAAGGAAAAATCTAGAGCAGTAGCTACTATGGTCAGGAATTATAAACCAGGCATTCTTCTCATTCAAGAAACAAAGCTGGAAAAATGTTCTCAGGCTATTAGGAGAAGGATAGGTGGAAGTATTCTTAATAGTTGGACTGTTGTTCCAGCTGTGGGGTCTGCAGGAGGTTTAATGGTGTTGTGGAATGATAAGGATTTTGAAGTTACAAATAGTCATTTAAGCAGCAGGTTCATAGCTGTCTTTGGAAGTTTTAAGAATTCATGTGATAAATGTGTGATTATTAATGTATATGGTCCAAGTATTGATGCTGAAAAGGAGGATTTTTTCAGGGAATTGCTGAATTTTGTCACTGCTCAAACAGTATCAGTTTGCATTGGGGGTGATTTTAATGTGTATTTTGATCCGACAGAGAAGATAGGAATGTCACAAAATTGGTTTTCTATAGCTATTCTAAGAAATTCCTGAATCATACTAATTTAATCGATCTACCTATGGTTGGGGGAAGGTTCACTTGGTGTAATAATAGAGAAGCCTCTACTTGGGTCAGATTGGATAGGTTCCTAATTTCTGGGGATTTTCTGATAAGTTTTCCTAATGTTCTGCAAAGCCTGTTACCGAGATCTTTATCTGATCATAATCCCGTTTGTTTGGAGGAAAAAACTGTTGATTGGGGCCCCAAACCATTCAGATTTTTAACTATCTTCTAGAGGAAAAAGGGTTTGAGGATATAGTTAAATCATCCATGGATGTTTCGAGGGGGAGTAGAAGGAGTAGGGCATTTTCAGCATTCTTCAAGAAACTAAAATAGCGATCAGAAGTTGGTCGGGCAGAAAGTTCAATGGAATTTCTGAGTCCATAGCAGATCTGGAATTGAAGATAAATAATCTTGAGTTTAAAGCTCAAGCTGGGGACCTCTGCCAACAGGACTGGGGGCATCTGCTGCAGTTCAGATCGGATCTATGGAGGTTGTATAGGATTGAAGAAAGCATCTGGTTTCAGAAATCAAGGGCGAAATGGATTAAAGATGGAGATAGAAACACTAGATTTTTCATTTAACTGCTCTAAACAGGAGTAGGAGAAATGAAATTACTAGTTTGAAGATCAATGGTTCTGAAGTTGTAGATCCGCAATCTATTAAGTTGCATATTGCGGCCTTTTTTAAGGAATCCTATAGTTCTATGTCAACGCTGGGTGTAGAGGATTTATCCCTGGAGTTTGCTATGCTATCAGAGTTCCAATCTTTAAAACTTGAGGAGCAGTTCACGGAACAAGAAATATGGCAAGCGATAGCTTCTTCGGACAGTTCTAAAGCACCAGGACCGGATGGCTTTACCATGGGCTTCTTCAAGAAATGTTGGTCGGGTTTAAAGGAACATGTATTGAAGTTTTTCCAGGATTTTTTCAGAGGTAGAAAATGGGAACACGGAGTTAATCACGCGTTTATTACACTCATTCCGAAGAAGACTAATCCGGAAAGTGTGGAGGATTTTAGACCAATCAGCCTTGTAGGTAGTTTATACAAGATTCTCTCAAAAGTATTATCTAAAAGGTTGAGTGGCTGTGTTGGCGACATAATAAGTCAATCCCAATTTGCATTTATTCCGGGGAGACAGTTATTGGATTGCGCCTTCATTGCGAACGAAGGTATTGATTTCTGGAGAAAACAAGGACTGCAAGGGGTAGTTTTTAAAGTTGACTTCCGAAGAGCATACGACACTGTGGAATGGCCTATTTTGTTTAGAGCAATGAAAGAAATGGGATTTGGAAACAGATGGTCATCGTGGATTACTCAATGTCTGTCTACAGCCTCTATTTC